ACAAGTGGGTGAGTGCAGTAAGCGCTTTTTCACTTCAACATCAAGCATAGGCCTCTTTTGGAGTCAGGATACAAAACCTGATGTAACACTGGTCTAATATGGTATAGTGATTCTTATGCTCCTAAGGTTAGAACAGCAGTTTTCATGGAGGAAATGCACATGTGAGTGAGAAACAAATAGAATGCATACATGTAAATGTAAACCCAGCCACTCGTCAGCAGACCCTTCTCTTTTCATGTGAAGATTGTTTCCTTAAGATAGTAATAGTTCTTTTGAGTGATGTTCACTAGCTATCAAGAAGGCAACACACATTCTTTTTCAAATATTGGTTTCTGCTACAAATTACTGATGTTACTTCCTGTCCTGAATGTATTTGATAATCTGTCAGTATTCCCAATAAGCAGCCATTTACAATAGTTAATTTCAAGCATAACTTCCTGTGTATTGTTGCCTACTAAATTCAAATGCTGAATTTATTATAATCTAGTAATTTTTTGTTTTAATGATTCCAGAATATCTTCAAGGCATTTCCCAAAACATGACAGAAACAAGTACTCTCCACTCTGGGTGTGCCATTTCCTAGACAAACAGTAAAAAATAATTCCTATTCCCCACATGCCAGCAGTAAAATGTATTCAGATAAAAGATACGGAGTAGAAATTAATCATCAAGCACCACAAAATGGACAAATTGGACCAACAATAAATTCTGAGAACCAGCGAAGAGCTTACTGGTCCATAAAAAATTCTGCTTTACCCAAAATGTGTAACTAGCATATGATTGCAGACTAAGAAGGGCAGCGTGGAGTAAGATCCCTTGTTAAGACTTGCCTGAAGAATGTCTACTTGTGGATAGGTTACTTAATTAAATTCATTGTGAGTGCTCATCTGATAATCTCCTAACACAAATTTATCTTTGTTGATCATATATTATGTTCCCTCTACCTCCCAAGACTCATTATCTGCATTCTGAGTGCAAGTGCTCCAAAGATGGTCCTCTTTGTTAGATTAGGGCAGACTTCCTTAATATTTTCAGCCTTCTTGATTACACATCCCTCCCCATCAAGTGGCAGCCACTTGGACTCCAACTCTCCAACGAAAATTTGCCTGACAAGACTGCCTGACATGTGACACCTGCTACAATACCGCTCTCTACTGTGTTTGTCCAAGTCACTTCACTCAAAGTCTAACAATGACTGTCCAACCAGGCAGTATGAAAAACAAAAAATCTGCCTTGCTGTGAGAGAAGACATTACCTTTCCAGAACCACCATCATCAGGGCTCTTTCCTTCCTTCTTTATTTTTTAATGGAGACGAAACCCCCCTGTCATCTCACCTACTCCTCTCTTAATAAGGAACGACTGCCGTGACTACCCCCATCTAGAAGCGCCATTCACCACCAGCACCTCTGCTCTCCTCATGTGCTTAAAGAACAACTGATTAGCTCTTTGCATAATTAACCTGATTAGCACTGTGCATAATCAAACTGATTAGCACTTTGCATAATTAAAAAGAAATAATAATAATAATAATAATAACAATAATAAGCACTAGGTAATATCAAAAGCCGTTAGTCCCACAGCCGTCTTGTTAGTGCCAGGATTAGTTTAATGCAGCATATTTTATTCCTTATATATATAAAAATATTATATGTATAAAAATAAAACTTCAAACTCCTGAGAATTAAAAGTGGAAATATTCTCAATTATTTTCAGAACACTGAGAAAAATATTGATTATTCCACAACTGTCCATTACAGGGTTTCTTGCATCTTTTTCTGAAGTACCTGATCGTATCCATTGTTGGAGGATACTTGAATAGATGAACCATTGGTTTGATTCGGTATAGCATCTCTCTTACATTCCTATGTTACCAAGTCTGTATATCTAGCTTTCTACCTTAGGTAGTTATATGGTCTCCATTATCATAGTATCTGAGTACCTCACAATCTTTACTGTTTTTGCCTTCACAACATTGCTGTGAGGTAGGAAAGTGCTATTATCCCATTTCTGCAGATGGGGAACTGCGGCACAGAGTGGCTAAATGACTTACCCAAGGTCACACAGGAAGTCTGTGGTGAAGCCAGGTCTTCCAAGTCCCAAGCTAGTACCCCAACCACTGGACAATCCTTCTTTTCCCATTGGACCATTCTTATTTCCTGTATGGACTGGTTACCTAAGTAATTTACCTCACACAAACATGTTCTGGGGAGAAAGGAAAGCAGGACCCTGAGTGCACCATGTGAAATAGCTTCTGTTTCTGTTCCAGTTCAAATCCTCTGATTTTCACTGTTAAATTTTCACTGGTTAGGTTCAAAACTGTGTGAAACCATGAACTTTTCCATGGTTTCTGCCTAAATCTTAAAGGGGCCCAAATCTCCCACGATACACAATGCTAGATGCCCTAGAACATTTACAAAAGTATCCCCATAGTTCTAGTACTGGGACTTTCCCTCATGAAATAAATTAAGGGAAAACTATGGGAGAAGGGAGCGATAAAAGGGAACCTTACAGTAATTAAATAAAAATATATTACCCAGCCATGGAGGCCTTTCTATTACCATAAGAAAAGGAACCCAAATGAACAGTGAGTGAGTGGTCCCCAGAGCCAGTCACCCATTTCTAAAGTTGTTTAGTTTCAGAAGAAAAGTGTTGTTGCAGAGATTATTCAAGTCCAAATGTTCCTGGGGAAGGTAGTTCCAGTAATTCTGGGAAGGAAGCCAATCCCTTTGGCTTTATATGTAAATATTTGAAAAACATTATTTTTATATACATATATTTTATAACATATACATATATGTCTCTACACTTCCAGCCTTGCAAAACTGCTATGAAAAAATGTACCACTTCAGGCACAAATATCTACTCACCAGAACCATGATAACTGACAAAAATTTAAAAAAATAGCGCCCTCCCACCTGTTAAGTTAGGTGCCTTAGACACAAAGGCCCCAACCCTAAAAGCTGTTCTGCTCCTTGGGTTTCAAGGATACACAGGTCAGAGGAAGCTACAGAAACCTCTAAAAATGATGAGAAGTAGCCTTCTAGTCCTAATAAAGGCAGGAACATAAGGTCCATTACTTCAGAACTTTATAGGTCTAAACAAACTTTGTGTGTTCTATCCACAAGCTGGTAATCTCCCACTTTCAATGGTATAAAGTTCCCACTTCCTAGGATTTTAGGACACTGAGATATAAGAACTTAAAAACTAACTTTTTTATCTACAGAAAAATCACTGGCCCAGGACTGAATCTTGCGCATCCCACAAAAAGTGGTAATTTAGTGGGAAATTCTACATTTGAGGGAGAGAAGAGAAACATTTCTGTGGGAGGCTGATTTTAATTAATTAATTAAATGGTGGACACTTGAACGTGCTTGGGAGTTGGGACACTGGAATAAATCCTGGGTAGATAGACAGATTGGGGGGAGAGTGCAGGAGAGGCAGTCAAAAGTGGATGATAAATAAATTAATCCATGCCTCTGCAATTTATCACGTGGCTATCACCTGCACATATGTGGTATACAGAAACATACACTAATAATCATATTTATTCCCCCACTCTCCTGACGTACATACACACTTAAATTATTTCATACATATATACATAGAGAGCTTGGTGAAATTCTTGGACAAATAGTTTATTAGAAGAAAAATGCAGTTTCAGTCTAACAAACTATTAGTGAATTTGAGATTAATATTTTTAGCCATTCACAAAATGGCCAGAAGAGAAGGAAGTGGCATCGCTGCTCACCTGCCTTTATAAGCTTTAGCTCAGTGTTTTGGTCACTCATCTGGGATGTGCAAGATGCAGGTTCAAATCACAGCAGTGGAATTGAGCTGAAACAGACTTTCTAAATTCACCAAAAATTCCAACAAATTTCAGATTCGGTTTGACCTGAACCACTTATTTTTTCAGAACTGCCACTGATCTGAAACATCACTTATTCACCCAGCTCTCTGTATACCCACATACAGATACACACACACACGCATATGTATATTTTAATCTGTACCCACATATATATATCCTACGTGGAGGAGATACAAATATTTCCCAAATATATTATATATAATGCTATTTCTGTTAAATATTTATATCACTGCCACATGTAGGGGTATTTGTGTTTTAACATATACACACATAAAATGTGTAAGTTTGTGCATATGTGTAATCTCTCTGTCTCTCTCTCTCTCTCACACACACATACTCACAAATACACACACACACACTCACAAATACACACACACACACACACTCACAAATGGAAAGACCAAGAGTAGAGCAGACCTTTTACAAAATATTTTAATAGTTATTTTAGAAATCTTCACCCAAAGTTTGAGGGTTTCTTTTCTTGCTATCTTACATTTTCTCCGGCAAAATACACCTGCTTTCTTTTCTTTTCTTCCCCCCAAACTAAATATTTCTTCCATCTAATGACTCTCTTTATTAGACAGCATCTAATTTGCATACATTTACATACAATTTAACTGCTAGCTTGTGAGAACAAAGAAATGGTTCTGTATTATACTGAAGGACAATACTCAGAAAAGGAAGGTATAAAAACCAGCTAGCTCAGTGGCTGTGTATTTTCTTTGTTTCAGAAATATCAGGATTTTTAAACACACCACTTAAAGGGTGAAAAAGATTATTTCATCAAACAATGAAAAAAGATACAGCGCAGCTCCGTTTTAACACATTTTCTCTCTGGCCTGGTTAATGGGATTTAAGGGTCCAAGGGTCCACTGTTTCCTTTACAGAATCTGATGGATTTATTTCTGTCACATATTTTAGTTCATATTTTATTGTTATAACAATCTACATTGAAGCTCAGCTCCAATGCTAATTCAATACCACCTTTTCCTGGTCAGACTGGGATATGACCGAATGATCTTTGATAGGCATCAAATACTCTGCCCTCAATGCCCACCACTAATGGATTTTATAGAAAGGCTGCCAGGACTTTACCCTATGGCAACAAGTATAGAGATAATGGAAACTTACCATGTAGCTGACTGGGAATCAACAGGAAGGGAAGCAGGGCTGAGCTCCACTTGTGAGAACAGGGAGGGACTGTGGTCAGAGTAAATGCAGGAGGTAAAGGAGAAGTCAAGCCCTCTAGTTCCCTAGAAGAAGAGGAGGAAAGAATTTTAAGACCTCATATAAGGGAAAGTCTTTAGAGAAAGAAGGCAGAGACTCCTGTCCATACCCCACCCAAACAAAGTATACACCATCAAAAGCCTTCCCTCCAAATCTTCACAATGGAAATTCCAGTTACACTGATTGGTTCAATTTTAAATCACTCTGGCCTCTCCGGCCTTTGACCTCTTCTCTTTGCTCAAAGGTGAAATTCTAGAATTTTACATTTTAAAAAGAGCATGGCATGTGGTCACTGAATAAGAAAAAATTCTCTAGTCATTTTGGGGCAAGTGAATGACCACAGGGGCCTGATCCCACAGAAATGTGCTACCAGGTGTAGCACTTTCTAGTGTGAGCAGATCCATTAAAGGCAATGGGATGGGAATACTCATGCTCAAGAACATTATGCCCAGAAGTAATTATTTCCAAGTCAGGCCCAAGATTTGAAATCCTCATTGATCATTTGGGCTGCTCAGTTTCTCCTAGAGTACAGAAGCTTTACCCGATTAACATGACGAAAGGGGATCACTCCCTAGTCAGACCCTGCATAGGTGTATGGTGCAGGTACTAACAACAAGGCAGGTCTGAGGACTGAAGGCCCAAATCAGGATCTCAGAGAGCGTACAGGAATTCTTTTTGTTCTGACTATCCCTTGCTGTGCCTCACTGGAGCTCTCGGCACATTACAAAATATTTACAAATATAAACTTTTAATTAGTGCTCATTGCAATTTTTCAAAATTTTGAAAAATCTGATTTTTAAAAGAATTCAAATGGGGGTAATTCCCCCCCCCCAGCTATTTTTAATATATTTTTCAATCAGCTCTGCTTGAGAAAACATGTGAGCCTTGCAGTGTGTCCTGAAGTTTACCAAAAGCTGAAGTTTGCCAGATGCTGGGAATGGGCAACAGGGAATGGATCACTTGATGATTACCTGTTCTGTTCATTCCCTCTGGGGCACCTGGCATTGTCCACTGTCGGAAGACAGGATACTGGGCTAGACGGACCTTTGGTCTGACCCAGTGTGGCCGTTCTTATGTTCTTAAAACCTGATTGTGGCAGAGCAAGGAAAGAAGGATGTTCCAGAGCTAAGGATCCCTTATAGTTATATCCCTTAAGGACCATATCTGCAGTCCCCTATTGTTAAAACCTTTGGTTTGTTAGTTTGAGTGTCTTGGAGGGTTGTGGCTGCCATGGTATCACCCAGGAAGAAAGGATCCTATGAGGTAGTTGGGATCCAAGTCATTTACGGTTTTATAGGTCAAAGTCAACTCCTTAAACTTCAACTGAAAATCAGATGACAGGCCATACAGCTCATGCAGAAGAAATGCAATATGCTTTTGATGAGACATTCCACTTAAAAGGCGCACTACCACAATTGCCACGTAACACCTTGAATTAGCCTCATGTAACGGCAATATAGTAATCCCATCTTGAGGTGATAAAAGGCAAAGTCCCAAAATGAAAGGACGCAACCCTCTTGCCAAGAGCAAATGATAAAAATCACAATTAGCAACCACTACTACCTGAATATCCAGAATCACCTGAAAACCCAGCAAACCCAGCTCGGGAAATGCACTTAGAAACAAACAGCAGGAAAATGTCAGATATTGTACAGTTATAATACTGAGTACTTGCTTTGGCTAGTTCCCCTACTCTCTACGCATTACCTCTTGCTTGGAGCGAGTGTCAGCTAGCTAGCCCTCTTACACACCACCATCTCTGTTGAACACTGAGCAAGTCACCCCACAACGCAGGTAAAAGTGAAAGGGATGGGAAAACAACACTGGATATCAACTGCATCCTGAAAACAATACAATCCAAACCGCCTCACTAATCCTTTTATTTGCCCCATATACATGTAAAACAATAGGGATGACAAAATAAAAACCCACAAACCTTCCATGAGAGTGCCCTCAAGGAAGATAAGTAATCATCCAACACTACCCCCTGGGATCTCTCAGGAAAAAAAAAACAACAGTCTCTCTCATGAGCTACCTCACCAACACAGTGGCCACAGATGAATCACCATCAGTGCTACAGAAGGCAGCTGACAGAGCTAAAAGAATCAATATGTACACCTCATCTTCATCTATTTTCAGCAGAAGATCAACAACCAACATGACCAAAGTCACTGCTATACTACTTTCACAACTAAATCAGTTCTAACGGGGTCAAAAAGACCAGAGGACTCTAGATACTTTACAGTACCACTGAAGTTGTTTCACCATAATTTCCTAAATAATCTCCCTTCAAGGGACTGGAGCAGATGACCTATTAAGGTCCCTTCCAGTCCTACATTTCTATGATTTCTATGATTCAAAGGTAGTTTGGATACCTTGTTTGGGAAGCAACATTAATTCTGCATTTCTTGGGTTACTAGCACTCGAAGGGGTCTTTTTTGTTTTATGCTCTAACATTTGACGGTAATATGCCTTAAAACCAATGATACGGGCCTGAAACTTTAACTTCACTTTAACAATGATTTTTGCATGTTTAAAAGGTTAAAATCATGTTTGGTTCATTAGAATTATTTTTTATATATTTTTCTGTATACACAAAGGTCTGATTCTCCTCCTTTACTATTATAAATCCAGAGTAATTCCTCTGAAGTCAACTGCGCTACGCAAGTGTGAAACTGTTGTAAGCAGGAGGAGAATCAAGTGCAAAGTGTTTTGCTACTTATATAATGTATACATAAATTAACTCTTGCTTTTATAAACCTATTAGCCAAGATGGTTGGGGCATCACCCCATGCTCTGGATGTTCCTAAACCTCTGAATTCCAGAAGCTGGGACTGGATGACGGAATGGATCACTTGATAAATTGCCCTATTCTGTTCATTCCCTCTGAAGCATCTGGCACCAACCACTGTCAGAAGATAGGCTACTGGACTAAATGGATCATTGGTCTGACCCAGGCTGGCCATTCTTATGTTCGTAGGTGCTTTTAAAACTCCCTACTCACATGCAGTAAATTTCCATTTTGGGTCTGCTTTTTGTAGCTACAGTGATAGCACTTATAGCTTTGTCCATTTTAAGAAGTATTGACAGTTCCCTTTTAAGTATGGGGAATATTTCTCAAACAGGTAGAATCTTTCAACACGGAAGAAAATTTTAAGATGTGGCCACTATGATGACTTAGGTTGTTGAGGCAGAACCCTATTCTCCCCACCAAGGTTCACCTCAACCAGCTAATCTGTATTAAAGTACAATTTGCCCTGTTTACACTGAGATTTTAAAACATGTTAAAACATCTAGACACCTTTTTTTGCTATTCCAGACAGGGTCTATCTGAGGAATAATAGTGAGTGGAGAAGGCTAGAAGTCTAACCAGACCTTCCTCAAAACATGCTTCCATAACATCTCAGAGGAATCAAGGTAACAACCCTTCACCCTGAGTATTATACAGAAAGAAATTTGTGTCATTTGGTGGCAGCATAAGTTTAAAATTTGCCCACTGAAAACAAAAGACCAAATTTCCATATTTAGTTGCATTTTAGGCCTGCACGGGCTGGATATTGGCACTAGCTACCATACCAAGTGATATTTTGTTCAAATTACAGGATAATCCTTTTAATTGGGACACCCTGGTGGATGGCCTATTGTCTTGATTAATATGTTGTCTCAATTAAGAGAAGCAGCCATTTGAAAAAAAATTGTCTAAAAAGACTTGAAATGTAGTAAAATTCTGTACTGAATAAAAATACAAGTATAAAAATGATTTATGCTGTATTTAATCTTTATTTCTTCTTCTCTTAACCTTTATTTGGAGACTGCTATATTAAAAGATTAGAATTTAGAATTTCACACCCGTTAAACACCTGGTTAAACACCACTTAACCCACTAGCACTAGCCAAATGTGTCCCCATTAAGCAGAAATATTGGCAACGCTGTCCCTATTAAGCAGCATCCATTACCATTCACTGTCATTAGGCTAAATCATTTCCCTGGGACACAATCTAATTTAACAGATTTCTTGATTAAGAGCATCCTGATTAAGTGGAAAATACTGAATCAGTAAATTTGCATGTAACATGTGAAGGCTTCTGGCCACTGAAGTCCTATCCCATCTGTCTGGTTTGCAGGCCAAGCTTGGAATCCTGGGTGTGATGTTCTGTACCTAAGGAATTGCCTAGGAGAGTTGCACATTCTAACAGGGCTGGGGGAGTTTTCTAGGAAGCAACTGGGCCAATTAACAGAGTGCAGAACTGATGGAGTTGGACTGAGATTCTTTCTTGGAAATGTTCTTGTGAGACTAAATACTGTTTCCCTTCTTATGGCTTTGTATCAGTGTAGGAAATCATCCCTGTTTGATTGGCATAGAGGATTTAATTTATTGGTTACACATATAGCACAGTGTCTTTTATAATCTCTGTAGTATTAAATTGTTCATTGTTTGTTTAATTTTGTGTGTGTGTGAATTCAGTGACGGATTGACAAGCCCAGAGAATAAAGTTCTCCATTCATACACCATGTATGGCACAGACAGTGGGAATGCAAGCTTCCCAATGTGCTTTAAGACTGTTCTGTAGAAATTATCTGCATGGGTGAAAGAGGAGTCTTGTCTCTATGATTCATTGAACCCCCTGGCCTCCACTGAGACTGCAGACAAGGGTGTCAATAAGTGCCAGGTCTCGTGGTAATTTTCCAGGAGGAAGCAGACTCAGCAAGTCATTTCCAGGTAAGGTCACCAAAATCTCACCTGATGGTGATTACTTTCCATTGCTACTAACCTCTTATGTTGGTCCTCAACAGTGACCTACCCACAACTGGAAGGTTCAATCTCCCATGCCCAATCCTGTGTGGTTCCACTTTAGTGTCTGCTTATTAATGGAACTCAGTCACCCTCACCTGGTACTGGTGATGGATTAGATCTGCCTACTGAAAGTACGTTACTCCAGGGGCAAAATGTTGACATAATTTACATTTGCTTGGATGGTTAACTGAATCAAAGAAAAGGGTTTATACTGGGGGCTGAAGGGCCAT